CTTCTCTACTTAGCAAAAAAACAGCAAAAAAAGTCTCTGGAGCAGCTATTATTACATAACAAGTTAAACTTGTCACCTTCCTCTCCTTTCTGTGACACTGCAGTGTCATCAGGAGAAACAGAAAATGACTCAGGGCCCACACCACATCCAATTTAAATCATACAGAACTTTAACATTTGAGTCAAAATTCTAATGCAAAGCTTCTTCCTCTTAAGGGAGCAGGTGAGGTCAATTGGCAGATTAGATAAAAGAAAGAAGAAAAAAAAATAGATAAAAGAAAGAAGAAAAAAAAATTTAAAAGAAATTCAAGATTAAGAAAATATTTTTTAGCTATTCCAACATCCAGTTTGGTCCTGGCTCAGGTCTCCTTTGAGACAGAGGTTTTCTGTTGTACTTGGCTTTCTCCTTCCCCCTTCCACACACTTCCTCTGCTGGTCCTTGAGGAAGGATCAATTCAGGTAGGGAAATCCTGCCCTCTTTAAGATGTATTCACACTTCCACATCAATTAAACTAATTGGCAGCAAGTGCCACACTCTGTTTCAAAAACATAAACTAACATCTTTATTTTGTAACCATGATGTACTCTTTTTCACCAATTTGCACCTTTAGTTAAGCCTTGTTTCAATCAGCCCCCAGCCCCACAAAATCTCTCATATTAAATTCCAGGGTATTAACTTGCACACAGAACATAGCATTATTTAACGATCTTGATTATATTTTTAATTAAAAGACTGACAGCTAAAGCAAGGGGCTCAATATCACCCAAACATGAGACCATTGTGAAGGGATGCTTCAAATGTGAGAGCCAGGTAGGGCTGCTCCAGAAACTCAGACTGGAGGGGCACAAAGGAAGAGCCTGAAAGAGGCTTAAATCAGTGTCCAGAGGCAGCACCTGCCAAAGGGCTGGCCAAGACTGCTCCAGCCATCAGGGACAAGCCCCAGGGAGCAGGATGCAGGAGGAGCACACGTGCAGCAGCTGCTCTGCCTGGGAGCACAGATATCCCCAGGGATCCAAGGCACCAGGGGACATTCTCATCATTTCCCCACCACTGATAGCACTGATCTGACTGCACTCAGGCTCCCAGTGGCAATTCAAACATCACTTTGATTTACATCTATTTTCAACTCCATGGAATGAAATCGGTGCCCAGCCTGGGAGAGGATTCCCAGCATTCTTGGCATTAGAAAGGCTGTAAGTCATTTCTAGGGCAGGTGAGGCTCCTCAGGAGCCATAGAGGGGAAGAATCAGGCAACAAAGCTGGGTCAGGACCCTTGTGACAACAGACAGACTAGAGGGAGGCACAATGCTTATTCTGAAGTACAGCCTCCATGGAAGCTGTTAAATGAAGCATCTATCCCTGCTTTTGTATATAACTCCTTCACATGTCTGAAACAGCCACTGTTGCTTGCTTGGAGTCTCAGGAAAGAAGAAGGAATTATTTCCAAAGAGAGATCACTGCAGCCCAGTACAAACAGCAGCTGTAACTGGATCTGTTCAGAGCCTGAATGGAAGCAGGGGGAGAGTGAGAATAGTCAGTTCTCAATTACCAAGCTGGCAATTCACACTAAATCACACTGCTCTGCCTTCAGACATCCCTTCTGAGCCTACACAGTTCTACCACAGCTATCTGGAGTATGTGGGGAAAGTGATCTAGTAGCTTTGTTTGTTTGCTTCCTTTCATCTCTGCTAACCCAAGGCTGTCCTCAGGAAGAGCAGTTTGGTACCAGACACATCCCAGCCCTTTCCATCTCCCTGCATTCTCAGAGACAGGGAGGTTTGCCAGAGTGGTGTGCTTGCTCTAACTTTGCTGGACAGTGGCATTCACTCAATAAGGACATCACAAATTTTGCAATGTGCAGTGCCACAGCTTTGGTAGGAAGACTATGCTGATTATAAAAGCTTGGGAGTTTTCATAAATGCAAGTTTTCAGACATCCCACACTTAGGGTAGATTTACTTTAATGCTGCAGACATTGAAAGAGGAGACATTAAAGATATCCCCCAAGTCTTTAAAGAAAGTAGCTTGCATTTTTATTTGGTTTTGAGCAGTAGGTGATGAGGAGAGCAGACATGTAACACTGAGGATACCACCCAGGAGGAGCCCTTTGGGAGGCTCAGCTGGAGCAATGTCTGCTCCAGTCAGTCTCCAGAACTCTCAGCCCTGTGAAAGTATTTCTGTGTGTACAAAAGCAAAACGTTCAGCCTGACAGCAGTCACTGGAAAATGTCAGGAGTCCCACTTTGACAAATCTGAGTCCTCAATACTCCCCCTTACACCTTTCTCTAACATTTTTAACTGAGCAGGTTTCAGCTACCACTGAAACAATTAATGCGGAACACCAGGGTTTTTTCAGAGTATGTTCATGGGGTGGTCCTCTCAATTAATGTGATATTCTATGATAGATGAAAACTTACAAGGTTGCTGGTTCAAAGAACATTTCACACACCACGAGCAACTACCTCAACTTCTGAGCCTGACCTTCCTCTGAACATTTTTATTACTGTGCCATTGCAAAAGTGTTCTTCTAAGGTACCAAAGCTTCGTGAAAAGATATAACAAATAACTTGGAGATTGCAACCACTTCAGCTTTTATTTATTTAGAGAAATACCAATACCAAATTAAGTGAAATTATTAAAATTCATTTAAACCTATCACATGAAGAAAAGTAGTTGGAGCTCCAGGCATTCAAGAGTTTTAAAAGGAAGAAAAAATTCTTATGGTTAAGAAGGATTGGTTCAGAAAAATTCTTATGGTTTATGGTTTTTACTACATAGTAACAGTCTGCTTCAATCTAAATAACATGGAAAGGGAATGCCCTGAGATACTGTGTGGAAGATTCAAGCATAAAAAAGAGGAAACTTGATTATTTTACTTCCTCTCATGCACAAGTCATCTCTGCTGGGCTGAGCAGCAAATACCCACTTTTTGTCCCCAGGGGCCAGGATTTATCCTTTAGGATGCAGCCTTGGGAAAGCAAATATTGCTTCAACATCCCTGACAACCATAGGAAACAGATAAAAGTGTAGCTGCAACTTAGTGGGAATTAGAACAGAACAGGAAAGGTTAGAAGGCAGTGTGAAATCCCACTGATACCTCACCTAACTCTTCAAGAGATACAACTTGAAGGATTTTTTGATGATCTTGTTTACTGGCTTTGGGGTGAGATTTTTTTTGGGGGGACAACAATTCTGAGTGATAATTATTCATATTCTCATTCGACAGGAAGCAAAAAAAGTTAAAGTACAACTTAGAGCTCTCAACTCAAAGGGTTTTTAAATATTAATCATTTACATACATGTATAAATAACAATTTTAATGATGAGAATATCGTGAGCAACAATGAATGAGATCCGATTATAAATGATGTCAGGCATTCAAGGGATGTTTTCACTGTAATTAAGAGATGATGGTGGAAGAAAAGCAGCCTTCAGAAATTGAGACCTTTTGCACAATGAAGTTCAAGCAATTTAGATTTGTTCTTGTTAGAGGATTCTCTTCCATTGTTTGCCATTTCAAATTTAATCTTTTTTTTTTTTCTGCCTAGGGAGTTTCACCACTCATTTTTCTTGGGGGATCTTTACAGATTCAGTTTTTGGAGTGGAAATCTTTTATTAGAATTTCTCTGTAGAGAAAATTTTATTTTTTATTTTAATTAATTTTAGGAGACAGCCTACCAGTGAGATATCCTGACTCTGGTGCAATCCCACAAGAAAAGCACCAAATGCCTTAACAACAAAGACATTTAAAACCCCTCTGCAGAAAACTGAAGAGAATTTTCCATAGGAAAACAAACCTGCTTCAGTGGAAGATTACATGAGACCAGAAACCCAGCAGTCCACCATGTTTCTCTGATTTCTATACCCCCTCTTGTCTGAAACCTGTAGGATATGGCAGTAACTCTTGTGCCTCTCCAGTCAGCCTCTGTGAGCAAGAATAATTCCTTCTCCCTATTTCCTATGTGGCCCCTTCCTGGTATTCACCTCTGAAAATAGTTTGTAGATCCTCTGAGGAAAGTTTATTGCAGTGAGGCAGCCACAATGAACAGAAATGTCAAGTCTTAATGACAAGAAAGGAGTTTACTCAAAAGATACTGATCTTTGTGTATAGGAGTGTATGCATGGCTTGGATTATAGGAATTCAACCATGAAACAAAGAGGTTCTTAAAGACCCCAAAATGTGATTGCATGAAAAGGCCATTTATTGAGTATATCCTTCTCATTTCTCTCAGCTTTTCAGGCTTGTATTTTCTGGGAGTTTTAATTAAAAGATAATACCAAAAGATCTTTGGGTTTTAAATTAAATTCTCACATTTGCCTGCTTCCTCCAGCAGTGTTTGGCCTTTCCCATCAAATACCTCTCAACTGTCAGTGAAAAACACCAATGTACTCAACAGGAAGAGTGAAATACCTCTCTCTGTCTCCCTCTTCTCTCTTTCACCGGTGTGCCAGGATGTCAGATCTGGAGAGAAATTTGTGTATTTCCATTGTGGAGGGGATTTGAACATGTTGTGTGTCTTGGATTGATCACCACAATAAACAGAGGCTGTAGGTTCTCTGGGACATTCTCACACAATACAGGTGGTTTTGCAACATTTGTGGGAAAATGAGGCCATAACAATGGAATAAACCAATCCAAACCCACAAAAATGCCACAAAACCTACCAAAAAATGCCTGGTGCAGCCCTGGACCCAAGCTTTTCATCCAGAACTTACCTTGTAACTGAAATTGTTTTTACACCAGATATCTGGCTAGTTTATAGCCTTTTAAATATCTTACTCATCTCTGTACTTCCTAAGAGGTAATAGAAAAAATGAAATAGGTAATAGAAAAAATGAGATAGGCATATATATTTATTTCTGTGACATTCCCTTAAATGTTAATATTTTAGTTTGCATTTTAAAGAGAATCAAAAAACCATTTAGCAAAGATGAAGGCACAAAACTTGGCAAAAAAAAAAAAAAAAGGAAGATTATTCAATGAAGATTAAAATTGCTTCAACGCCAGTACTGTAATTTAAGGCAGAACATGGTGCAGACAAAATGCTTCTCTATGAGTTTATTTCCCCTCTCTCTGCACATCTTCCCCTTGCAAGTTGTTACTTCGTTTCACCAAGAAGGCTGAAATCAATATAATGAGTAGAAAAGCACGCAAATGAGAGAAGTGTGTGTCAAGTGGCAGCATAAAAAGAGCAAGCGAGGGTTCTGTTCCAGCAGAAAACCTCCAAAAAGTCTTACACGCCATCAACGTGGGTTCATTTCCATAAGAAACAAATTGGCAGTTGATGCTGATGAAGGCTGCCCTACACTTTACTGCTAATAAGTGACACCAGGGGCCTTATTACAAAGTATTTCTAAACATAAGAAATTCAGTAATGGGGCCCCCAAGGGCCACGTCCACAAACCGCGGCCCCGCTCCGTGCCCATGTGCACAGCCACTGGTTTCCAAGGCAACTAACCCGAGCACAGAAGCCATGTCAAACACTTGTGTAGGCAAGTTAGGCAAAGCCTTCTCAATATTTTCATTTTGTCATAGGGCCAGAGTGCTGCAAGCACTGCTTTTCCTTGGTCCTGGACTACAGAGTCAGCCTGGGTTTAGACATCGCCTATTGGCATCGCCTGGAGACAAAATGCAACCAAAGAAACAACACAGTGTGTCACAGCTGAGAATGCTCAGGGCATATTCCTCACTTATTTTTTTACTTTTTAACAGTTAAAAAGGAATGCAGCACATGAATGAGGACTGCGAGCAGCCATGCCCCCCTTCCAGGACCTTCAGGCAGCAGAAGAGTATCAAGATGATTTGGTTTGTTCACTCTTACCTTTGATTCTGGTCATGCTGCTGATAACACCAGCAAAATCCTCTCAAGTATGGTGTCAGCTCTGTCGTACCTGCCTATCAACAGTCAGCAGCTTCTCCAAGCACACCTAAAGTAGGGGGGAAATAACTACAGAGCTCCTAAAACATGCCCAAACCATTATCCATTCTCATGCCAATTGAAGCATCATTTCGTTCACTTGGAAATTTTCAGGCTTTCTGCAAACGCCAAGGTTGTTTACAACATTAACTTTAGAAAGGCAGGAAAGATAGAACACCAGAACTCCATTAAAAATATAGCTATTTAAGCTAGAAGTAAACAAATCCTGCATTATACTACTTGAACATTCATGCCATAGAGGACAAACCTTAAGAATAACTTTCCTTGGTATTCCCAGGCCAAGTCTCCACAGAAAAGAAAGTTGTCTTTCTTGCACAAATATGCACAAATATGCAAAGCACTCTCTCCTGAGCTCGCAGCTGCACAGGAGTTAACAACACATTTCTGCTTTAACTGTAAGGCTGTGTTTAATTAATTAGGAAAGCACTGACTTATCCCAGAGGAAAGAGCAGAAACAACAGTTCTTTATCCCCTGGTTAGCAGTTTTGGAGCTAACACACCACTGTCACCAGCTGAGAGCCACCAGCAGCACAGACCTGGCAGGGGCAGGGTGACTGCCAAGGCCAGTGTCCTTAAAGGACAGATGGGAAAGGGCTCCCCACACTTCCTCCCAGAGCAGTCTCATGGCATCACTCTCATAAGCTCAAAAAACACATTACCCACATTTCATTAAAAAAAAAAATCCTGGGATAGGTCATTTTCCTTTCAAGAAACCAAGCAAGAAATAAGGTTATAGGTACTATAACACCTACAGTGTATATTAAATTCACTGAAGTTTTGATTAAACATCAGCTCTGCTTCATAGCAGGAGAAAAAAACTCACTCATGTACAAAGAAAAAAGCTCACTCATATACAAAGAGCCCCCCCTTTTGTCTTTTCCTCACCTCAGAATCTCATGATTTGTTTTTTTCAGTACAGCATTTTAGATATCTTTAAAACAACATGCCTCATGTAATATGTTTATAGCCACAAACCTGTTATTCACTAGAGCTCTTCTGTCTAGGCATCTCATTTTTACAGTCTCTGGAGAGGCAGCTGTCCTCTCCATGGATCAACATATTGGAAACCATACCAAAACCAACAGGAGGATGCTTCTCATCCTTGCAGCACAATGAGCCAGTCTCAGATCTGGGATGCACCTGGTGACTTGCAATGCCACTGTCTTTCCACTTACAGTGCAGGAGCACCAAACTCTGCACTGCCTGGGAAATTTAATTAATTACCGCAGGTGGCTTTGTGCAAGTGATGCCCCAGATATTACTGCTAACTGTCCAAAAAGGCAGTCCTCTTAAAGATCATCTGCAAACCAGAATCTGAATAATGAAAGGTAAAACAGCTAAGCCCTCCAAGATCTCTCTGTACAGGGGAGAAGCAGAGGCACCATGAGATATGGAAGTAACCCAGAAAATGCAGGCTCAGGCCCCACGTGGCCTCACCATCAGCCCCAGGAGCAGCAGCATCACACGCCCCGGTGTCACGGCACGCTGCTCCCCGTTACCAAAGCATCTGCTCCAGCACATCCAGAAACAAACCGTGCTCTGCTGTTCCCCAAAGCCCACAGGGCTGCCAGTGAACAGCAGAGCTGCAGAAACAAATCAATGCCTGGCTCTCCTCCCAAAGACGGTTCCTAGCATCGGCAAGGTGACGGATGCTGTCACAGACTGTCAAGGTGGCAAATCCACACTGGGCTTTTGCCACCCAGCCCCAGCAGGGGGATTCTCTGCCTAACAAGGAGAGCACAGAAGATCCAGAATAAGCAGTTTCTTATTCTCTGGAAACTTCTTCTTCCAGAGTTTCTTATAGCCCTCTGTCTTCTCAGCTTCCAAATGAAGGTCCATGAATCCTCTGGCACTGAAATAAGGGTATAAAACCTCAAATTTCTTTGTGGGAATTGCCAGCTAAATGGGAGCTGTCTTCTCTTATCTATAGTATGAAAGAAATCCTAACCTTTTTTTTCCTCCTGAATAGAAATATAAAATAGCATCATGTAGTCTTATAGTTGTGAGGAAACTGAACTTTAATGGCTTCAGCACTTGACATTATTCATAGTTAGAAAGGTCAATTTTTATCCGTCACATGAGGAAGAGATTTCTCTGCTTCCAGCCAGTGATATTGTTGAGAATTTGCTACTTTTAAAACAAAGTTTACTTCAAAGCCAAGAGTGTTTGCTCCCGAAGTACTATGTAAAACTCCAATCTACTGCATCTGCTGACAATACCAGCTGCAAAGGTCTTTGAAAACACTGTTCACACAGCATGAAAATTCTGAACAAATGGAAAGTTTTATAGCAATTCAATACACATAACCCTTGCTTTTACAATTCCAGTTGACACTTAAATATTTAAAAACAACAAGGGACATATGGGTTATTTATTCTCTTTTTTATTTTAATTCTACTTCTGAAAATAGTTTCTAACTTAGTTATTTTAAAACAGAAATGGCACCATTTTAGCACTGAACTTGTGGGCAATTCATCAGGTTGTGAATTCTAACCTGACACTTACAATACACCAAATGCTTTTTCAATGCTGCTGTTGCACCATCTGCTTTGATATTGCTTCAGAATTATACTTAAAAATATGTAGCTAGAAGCAAAACGAGGTTTATAGAATTTGACTACAATCTATATCATTCTGGGAGGGAGGATTAATCTTCAGTGCTTGAAAGCTTTTATGCTTCATAATTTTTGACAACATTTGAAAAAGAGAACTGGCACTGCCAAAAGGATGTAAAAGTTTGCTCTTTTTAAGTTGTAAAATAGTCGTGTTCTTGTTAAGTTCTAAAGAATATTTTGTGTGGTATTATTTGTCTCTTCAAAATGTAACCCACAGATATTGCTGGAATTTGTTTTAATTTTTCTTTCACGTGGGTATGACAAAAAATTATGTAACTTTGAAATAAAGAGTACAGTAAAACAGATCTCTAAAGGATGAAGTGAGGCATTTTCTTACAGACTCTAAAGAGCAAAATTTACTCATAATCTCACTTTTGTGGACAGACATGACTGAATGGAGATGTTTCACATCATTACAGCTTCATGTCATAGTATAAATATTGCAGATTTTACAGTTTCAGTTGAAAATTTATACAGAATAATCAAGTTGCAGAGTAGGGAGGCAGACAGTTTTATGAGATATACTGTAATTGTTCTGACCTACTCCTGCTACTGATGAAATAGGGGTCATAAAGTGAAAATCTTACTGTTTCTTTGTCCTTGGTCTAAGTATGACCTAAATGTTGCAAATCTTATGACAAAAAAACCAAAAAATGAAGCCATTTCTGTATGTTAGCTGGCTCTATCATTGAAAGTGTTTATTTGGAAAACAGATTTTACTAGAACTGCCAAAAGGGAAGGTCTCTGACTCTCCCCAGTGCTGGTCTCTGTCAGAAAAAGCATCCAAGACCAGGTAGATAGGGAGCATAAACTGCACTCTAAATCTCATTTTAATTCTTCATTATTTCAGGAATAAAAATACAAAACAAAACACACAATTTTATCTTTCTGAACTTCTCTTAATAGTGGAACATAAAGGTGAAATAGGTAAGTATATTCATGCTTTTAAAAAACATCTATAAAATATAAAAAAGAAAGAAGAACCATGGAGATAGCACCTGTTAATAGCTAACACATTACTATCCTTCATGGTATGTGTTTCTTTATTCTTTCTTTCCTGGTATGCTTTAAATGTGCAGGATGAAAGATTTTATCACTTCTCAAGAGGATTTATTCTTTAGAATAGATCTAAATAGATCTTAGACCTCATCTAAAATTTCTTTGGTAGGCCAAAGGCAGAATTGTGACTTCAAGCATTTCAGCATTTCTACAGAGGGTGCTTCTGCTGGGTCACAACTCAGAAATCACAAGGTTTTCCACTGTGAACCCATTTGGATTTTAGTGCAAGTGCAGTGAGCTGGTGAAGAGGAGCCCAAGGGATCATCAGACCCCACTCTGCAAGAGGATGTGCCTTTTATTATGAAACAATGATTTCATTCACGGAACAGTTTTTCCTTCTGCCCTTCATTCAAGCTTTTTTTCTTTTTTCTGACATGGTTTTACGCTTCAGAATTTTTTTTTCCTCAGTGTTAAGAGGAAAATAAGGACAATCAAGTCTCTGAGACACAAGTTCTTCTGCACTTCTGCTCTGACACTTCCTCTGGTGAACCCAGCCTCTGTTTCCCATCCATTGCACTTCTCCTCACACTCTTCCAACCTTCTTTTAAACATCTCACTAACATTTTAAACATCTCACTAACATTTTAAACAAGCACATTAGAGCACTCACCATTTTGTGCTTCTCACTTCGGGGTGGCTAATGCTGACAAGGCTCATTATTTGTTCTGTAATTATCTCCTGCAACTTCCCATTTGCTGAGGAAAAAAGAAGAGCAAAATGCAGTAAGATTGCTGACACTTGAAGGCTTCTGCCTATCATGCACTTGTACTTCCTTGATTTCTATTTATCTGTTTCTCTTTCAGAGCTCTTTGCAAGAAGGATTTTACTATGGGCCATAACCAGGGCTCTCAGATAAGAGAGCAATAGTGATAACAAAGCAGGGGGTGGTTTATGCTCATTAAAAACCGAATTTCACATCCATTGAAATGTGTGATGCTAATTCAACTGGAAGCACTCAAATCATCTTTCAAAAACTAACACTGCAATGACTGAGGATGGCTCAGCTTGATGGATTAAAAACGTTACACAGACTTCACAGCCCCAGCTGTGCCAGGTAAGAGTTGCTCTCGTTTGATGAGTAGGAAACTGGTGTGCAAAGAGACAATGTGGTTTACAAAGTTCCTGTGCCAACCCACCAGGATCAGACTACATCTGTGTCTGGAAATCACTTCTCTGCCTGGTCCCTAAGCCCAGCACGAGCTCACAGAACCCTGGGCACAGCAAAGGTGTCACTCCTCTGAACCCTCCACTTTTAATGCTAAATACCAACAGTCTGTGTCCCACAGGATTGCTCTGATGACTCAAGAGTTACCCCCAAATAATATTTTACCTTCGCTTGTTTGTTTTTAAAATGTAAAGAGTTTTCTGTTAATGGTGCACCCTGCATGCAGCTCTCAGGCATATTCTGCCTTGCTCTTTGAGAAGGCCCAGAGTTACATATTTATGTTTTCTCCAGCATAAAAATAATAATAAAAAACCCCACCATTTTGTTCCCCTAGTACAGACAAAATAAATGGCAGCCAATTCACTTCAAACAACATTCCTGCACACAAAGTTGGTGACATAATTAAGAAATGTATTCAAGCTATTACTAATTTAACACAGCTCATCAATACTTCCATCAGAAAGCTGTTTATGGCCAACAGTGTCACAACTGAATTTATGCATTGTAAATACAAATATATTTTATTCATAGAATATTCTTGTGACTTCAATTATGCAATAAGTATTTATTTGGAATTCATTATTTTTTGTTTGATAACCATCATTAATTCATGTCCAACTGATTAAGCCTGCTGTAAAGCTTTAGTGAACATTATACAGGATAAAATATAGATTTGTAGAGCTCAGTATTTTCCCTACAGCTTTAAGTGGAATGTGTGGACAATTACATAATACTGCTCCACACGACCACTGAGTTTCATGTTACAGAAATACATTTCACGGCTTTCTATTAAAAACAATGTAAATCTCTAGCAAACAATTATTCATTTAGGAGAGCTTTTAGCTGCTTGCTGCTTTTAGACTGCACAAAGTTGTGTCTTTTCTCAGTCCCCTTTTCCATTTCTGCCCGAGATTCACATGCAGGGTGTTCCCTGCACCGCCCCTCACTTTGCAGGCAGGCAAATGCTTCCCAAACAAGCGAGCTCTCAGCACCCCTGCCTCGCTTGGAAACGGTGGGATGTTTAGGAATACATAGTAAATTTAATCTTCCCCCACATTTTTTCTTAAGCAGAGTGCTAAAATTTGCGTTGGAATATAAAGTACGGTTCATATATTCCTGAACTGGCTTTTCTTTTTATATTGTTTTTGCTGCAGTTTCCTGAAGTTCACCAAGAAATCAGCAGCAAAAAGCACAAATTAAAACAGAAAGTACGTGACAGAAAAATAAAGGCTATGGGGGTACTGTTTTCTGTACCTCCTGTTCCACAGACAAATCCAGTTATCCAAGGAAACACAAGTTCAGACTGATGCATGAAACCATTTCACCAAAGTTAAAAGCACAAGACAGGAAGATTTAAGTAGTCCAAACCAAAAAATGCCTACTCATGAAACCAAACAGCTGTGTTGAGATAATTTCTGATAAACAAAGGGAGTACGAAACCAGAACTTAATGGACTAAAATACCTCTGTTGGAAAATAGGCCAAATTAGTGAATATAACAATGAGTTGTTTTTCACTTTTTTCCTTCTATATGCTGAGTTTGAGATCCTCATTTCAAGCTGACACCAACAAAAGGCATGGACCAAAAGGAATTGCTGTGCTGCACATCCAGGACCTGCAAATTCCCTTTTATTCCTATTTGGCCATGGTTACAGAAAGACAAAGCCCAGAGAGCCAAACAGAGCAGTGAGCCCAGAGCTCCTCTGCTCTTTGCCTCTTCCTTTGGGACCTTTCTGTCTGGGGCTTGCCACTCATGTAAAGAGCCCAGCTTTTCTGAAAAAATATTCAGCCTAGTACTGAACCTTTTGTTTTGTGAGCCTTTCGTCAAAAAAAGCAGCTACAAATAACATTTTAATCCAATACTCTGAATATTTGCCAGCCTCAAACCAAAAGAACCACTGACTTCTGATTCACACCACTGTTGTCAGACTCACTTGTGAAGCTGGCTTTGGAAATTTCTAGCACCATTGATAGCAATGTAACACACTCCAACAATTTCTTTTGAGTTTGTCAAAACCACATGTTCACTTTGCAATGAGCCTGTGAAAGTACTTGTAGGACAAAAGACAAAGTGAAATATTTAGAGCCATAATTTATGTATTTATATTTTTAAACAGCTAATGTAACTTAACGTGCAGAGAGGCAGCTTTTATGTGATAAAGAAAATCCAGATCATCAAAAATAGTACAGCATTAGTGATTACTTTTGATGGTAAAATATATTATTCATAATAATACCTGCTAAATTTAATTAAAATATTTATATTGAAAGATATTATTCATAAAACAAAGATTGATTATCAGTCAGCAGAACCAAAAATCAAGATCAAACATTTTAAGAGTGCTTTATAAAGGAATCCTTCATGAAAGGAAAGATATTGCTGGTTTCAATGAAAATCAGCCCAGTGGAGTACACAGATTAAAGCCAGGAGGAGCAGTGTCCTTGTGCTTTGGTGATCACACTGAATTCTGAAATGAAACCCAGGAGGTAGGAAGATCCTAAGTGGATTTGAAGAGCTCTCCTGTTTTCATGTAGTGCTTAACTACCAAACCACATTTTTTAAAAATGCATTACAGGTCTCTCCCATTAAGTTTTTTCCCTCGATGGGCTGTGGTTTTGAGGAGTTGGTTGTTTGTTTTTAAGAAACACAACTGGAAATGCACTGTGATTATTTCTCTCTGAAGATAAGCACTTCTTTTTAATAAAATCTCATTGCTCAGTGGTAATAATTCATTTTTCACATACTGTCAGCTCATGCAGACACAAACATTCTCTATCCTAAAACACCAGCAAGGAGAGAATCTTCAATTCTTATTCTTTAGGATTTTACCTAAACTGAAGTAGCAACACAGTCATCCCAGGTAACATCATCACTTAGAAACAGTAACAGCACCTGGCTCCCTTCTGCTGGGTTGAAATCAGATGTGCAGCAAAAAGGGCTGCTGCCATTTCTATTAATCTAAGTCAGTTCCCTCATCACTTCCTTTCTAGCTAAGGAGAGAATTTCTCCTTGTTGAGAAGTGAAGTGAGCAGATGGACATCCTATTCTACTGCAATAACACTGCTTTACATCTCTCTGACAATATAACAGCACTGTATATTAGTGTAATTTACTCCCACTTTAAGTCTCCTTTTCACTGACAGAACAGCATGAAGAGATCTTCATGTAAGTGAAAATAAGTCCCCTGTGAATTCCAGGAAGAAATTATGACGTAGAGAATGTAAAACAGTGAACAAATCTTGGATGCTGTTGGAAATGGTACAATTAAAATATCATTCTGACTTAAGGGCTTTCCAAGCATTGAAAAGTAAATAGGGATTATCTATTTAGTTCACACTTAAACAACAAATCATATGTTCTCTGATCTCCAGAGATGATAGCAGGGAGGCACATGATTGATACATTATGGTATATTAGTCACTGATGATGGTGTGCCTGTACTGAGCAAGAACTGCCTGGGAGGGTTTCAGTCTCCTGCAGCAGCAACCCAAAACCTCTCTGGCAGTACTGACTGCTGTGGGATCATTCTCAGAAAAACAACAAAATTGAATCCTCTGTCTTGTCTTGAGGGGTGACATCAAATGGCATTACTAGGTATCGAGCACCTTCACCACCATGCCAAAGGTCCCAGGGAATGAGCGCCCACTCTGCTCTGTTCACGCAGCGCTTCTGTCTGTGCTGCTTCCAGGCTTAAACAAGCCCACAGACTGCTCAGATTTAGCAGAGAAATTTTACAAAGGCAGACAAATGTCCAAAAGTTGCTGCCTTCTCACGTGCAGCTGTCACTCAGGAATTTGGGAGGAGGAGGGTGTGCCGAGGAAGCTGCTGCCCTGCCCTGCAGGCTGTGCTGGAGGATGCAGTGTGCTCAGGAAATGATGCAGCTCGGGATGCAAACTCACCTGGGGCAGCCTGGAGATGAGGGATTTATTAAATTCTATTGCTAACAAGACTGTGTGTAGTACACACTCTCAAGGGATATGATTTTACAATCCTCACCTCACAGGCATGCCAGCTTATGTTTTACTAACCACTCCAAGGAGGAGCTTCACACAAATGAAGAGGTGCACAAGCACAGCACCTTGAGCTTTTCCCACACAGAGTTTACCACACACAGGGATACTTCTGATACTTAAACTTGAGGTTTAAGATGCTGCAGCACTCACAGATACACCCATTTTATCCTCTAGAGGCTTTCCCTCTACTACTTCTTAAAATTACAAGTAATAATCCTCCCCTCTGATGTGGCACTTGGTCTGTTTCTCCAGGCAAGCCCTTGTCTCCTTGCTGAAAACACCTGGCTGACCCCAGCTCATCTGCATGGCCCAGTCTTGCCTCAAAAGTGAGAGCAAAAAGAAGGCAAACTAGAATTCCCATTATGATGAAAGTTTTAGGCTGATGAAAATGTATCCCAGACATTCAGATTTCACATCCAGACAAAATTCATAAACTAGTTTTGTAGTGTGCCCATCAACTGGTTTATCAGTGAGAGATCTGGCAAATGGTGTAAAAGTGTTTTGAGCAGACCTAAACAGCAGAAGGGGCAATGTGTAGAATGCAAAATCAAAAGATACACAAACTACAGAAAGAAATATAAGAAAATGCAGTTTTAAATAACTTAATTGCATTTCACCTCCTTCTACAATTTTGTCTTGATTCCTTACCTGTCCACTCCACCTACCAAAAAGGACAATTTATATATAATATATAGTTGTTGCCAAAAAATAGAAATCTTCTGCACATATGGAGTTGCCAACTGAAGAACTTTATTTTGTCCATTTACCAAATATTTTTGGCACATTTCACACATATTTTGCACAGTATTTCTACCTCAGTCTCTATTTTACAGAATTGTGCTATTAATATCATAGAATTTCAATCCAAACTTTACAATTTCAAATGTTTTTTTTTCAGTTGTAGGCAGGTGCATCATTAAGCCACTACAAAAATCCTTCCCATTGCATTTTGAACAGGATACTCAAACAATTCACAGTGAAGCAAATGATAGGAATGAATCCTTGCTGTCATCACTGCACTTTACAAATGGGGCACCTGATTTTATTTCCTTCCCATATTCTGTAGCACAACTGTTACTGAATGTGAGTGATTAGGGTTAAGAAGGGGTGGCAAGCAGGGATTATAATGGGCCATCAGAAAGTTGTTTAAATTGCAGGGAATGGAGCACCTTGGTGTCTCAGACAGCAATTCCACCATTGAAATGATCAACCAACTTCGTTTTCTGCATGTGTTCTATTGGTGTGTTTTATTAATAAGCCCTCAAAAACCTTGCATGGTATTTGAAGGATTTATCTCAGCCTCTTTCTTGATGTTTTTTCCCCACAATTGGAAGGCCACCTACTTTGAGTTCCTCATGGCTGATTTCTTTCTCCACTAATGTTCAGTAGCTATTGTTTTATTGCAATGTATTTACAAGAAACAGGCAATTTTTTAAGGTGCCAAGAGCTTCAAGCTTTGTTTGTTTATAGCTCCTCTGTGCACTGCTACATTTTTTCTTGGATTCAACTGCCAATGTAAGGGATTAAGGGGCTAAGCGAGTTTGACTGGTGCAGGAATCTTTCAAATATGTTCTTCTAGCTCAACTCTTTCACTGGCAGTTTTTACTTAACGATAACTGCCAAAATAAAAATCCCCTGGTGCAGCGGGAGTGACAAAACAATCACACTTTTCAGGCACAATTCAATATCTATTCACACCTCTGAAAAAAAATGAAATAAAATAAAAGTTGACAAAATTATAAAGCTCTGGCCTGTTGGCTTGCTTTTGCTGGGTTTTTTATTTAGGTTTTTTAAATGCCCCAACTGATCTTCAGATTGTTAGGGATGGAGTGTTTGCTGATTTGTGCTCTGCTTACAAGGCAATAACTATTTAATTAGGCTCTTGTAAGTGCAAATAACTTTTCTTAAGATTAAGAAAGATTAAGATTTTCTTAAGATTTCTCCAGAAATCTTGCACGAACACTCTCTTCAGTTACTGCCTTTTTTGATTCAGGCCACCTGAAAATTTTCTTTATTTCCTGATACCCCTATCCTAGTGATGCTTCTAGAGTTTAGTCTCTAGAAATAGAAATTATTCTTTGCATGACAGCTTTACTTATTCTTCTTAGCTCCTTGTCCTCAAAGTGAAGTACAATTGTGTTCATCTGAACACCAGGCAAGATGTGCAAGATGCTTTTTAAATAACTAAGATATTACCTACATGTCATTTTTCAATAGTAAAATGAAGATAACAGCATTTCAACTACAAATTGTTTGGTGCTTTTTTTTAATTATGAATAGCCCTACATCAAGGCTTTTTTAAAATACACACACACAAACTGTTATTTGGTAAAAGATGACTGGGTGGTAGTGCAATTGTGAAAGGGCAGGAAGAGAGAATACAAGAATCACCAGAATAATTTTGATCACACAATTGAATGTTCATAAAAATACTCCTATTAAAATCTGTAGATGATACAATGGCAAAAAGCATATGGACAGCCTTTAACTCTTGAGAAATTGTGTTGAAACAAGTACTGAGCAGAGTTATAGACCAGGGAGCACAGGTCCTACCAAGGGAATGACAACTTGTACCAAAAAAGCTTCAGTTTGACAAGTGAGTGCAGATTCAAGTGGAAAAGTAATTCAGATACTCTATCACAAGGCTGGGTACAAACCCAAATAAACCCCAATTCAGTATCTGACAATGAATGAGAATGAGCAAAGTGTAAGAACAAGACAATGGTACAAACAGTGTGACTACAGTGTCTGCTAATAAAAGAGAGCTGAGAAATTAGAGGAAAAATGTAAAATTATGACAAGGGTTCAAGATTAGAAAAATGTGTCTTATTATTGATAGACAAGCACTTGATCTCTTCAGCCTACCTGAAAGGGGTCCCCTCAGTGTCGTGTAATCCCATCACCTAAACATCTCGACAGAGGAGATAGAGAGCAATGAGAACAACCTCAGGCAAACATTCCTCACACTGGGGGTGACTGACCACTGCAAAAATCTCTAAAGACCAATCACAGATGATCCCATCTCTTGGTATTCAAGCCTTTCTGAAACTGGTACTTATTAAAGAACGACCTCCCCACAGTAACACTGGAGTGACATTTGTGACGCGACATTCATAACCCACGTCATACCACATCATCTGAGTCACACAATGACACTCTGCATATTTATAACCTGTCAGAGAAAGCACCCCACGTGTTTTACCTCTGCAACATGTGGAAACAACCATATCTCAGTAAACTTTGCATCCACATCTCTTTCTTACTTTGTCTAAAAGTATACCCATGTATTTCTTACTCAGAGCCATTCCCTCTTGGCATGAGGGAAGCTTGATAGCTCTTGGCATGAAGGAACATGTGATTAACACGTGTGGGCTCAGTGTTCCTCATTTGAGAATACTGCCTTCATTTGTATGGAATACAAATATGTCACATTTCCTCAGTATCTGAAACAGAACATTTATATTTATGAGGATATAAACTCATTTTCTCAAGTCTCTGATATTTGTTGAAAATTAATCATCCCCTTGCGAAACACATTCACTAGAATATTCATAGGAAGCAAACATAATGAATAATCATATTCAACTTTCATAATCAAAAGTTCCCAAAGCAATTTACAGGAGATAAGTATCATTATCCCCATTTATGGCCAGGGAAACTGAGGCATAACATTGACTTGCTCGACATTAAATAGCAGAAATGTGTTACACCTTAGATTTCTGGCAAAACTCTGGAATTCTTTTTCCTCTAATGCATAAAGACAGTCAAAGAAAAAAGTTTTAATTTCAATGAATATTAATATGTTTCTGTGATCTCCAGCAAGATTTCCCTCAAGCAACTGATACTTTTCCACAGTGTTCAGCGCATCTGTTTTCTTCAAGGCCTACCCATTTCCACTTGAATTCCAGAACTATTATAATGAAAATCTGTGAAAACTTAAAACAGGTTTCTTGACTTGATTTGCAGCAAGGTTGAGGCACCAGTAACACGAAGCACAGTCTCCCCAACATTTTTTACCTTCTGCTCTAAAACTTTTTTGTTTATACAGAAAGATTTTAAAATGACACAAGGCCACCCTAACCAAAGTTTGCTTAATCTAGCAGTTATCACTTAAAAAAATTGTAAAGGGAAAACACCCTCCCATTTAAATTTGAAAAGCTTCAAATTCATAAGCTATCCTTCTTCTATTAACCATTATCATTTTAATTAAAGCTGAAGAATTAAATCTACATGGAAAAAAAAATTATCCTCAGTTTCACTTGGGGAGGGATATCAAATGTTCTCCACTAAGAGAAATGAGAATACTGAAATTGTAAAATATTTCACAAGCATATCCTTTCCATTTATGTACCTCGAGTTTGATGATGAAGTCAGTTCACAGCCCTACTTAACGAGCAGAACTGTATATATACATATTCTCTCTCCTTACTGCTGACTTTAATAGTTCCTTTTAAAATGATATATGCCAATGTAAATATAGTTAACATAAAATAATTATATTCACAAAATATTTATTAAATTTACTTCTCCACATAAAGAGTGAAAAATAAAATCTCCATGCTCTGCTCAGTGATTTTAATGTGAAACTGCCGGTGAAATCGTCAACACATTCTTGGTGTAATACATTAAGCCAGCATGTGTGGGTGTCACATAATTGTAGACAATTTAGTGACTGAATTCCTTTAGGGTTTTAAAGTTCTACTATGTTTTTGCTTGGATACCTCTTTTTTGGGTCATTAAGACATGGTTGTCAAAAGAATAGATGAAACAAGCTTTTAATGTTTTATTGCTGAATAAGAGTTTGAAGGAGTTGCTCTGCCTCAGCATGCAGGGTTTATAGCTGCAAAGCTGTATTTTATCTCACACACACCCCCTCTGAAGCTTCATGCTGAGGGTGAAATTCATTTTGGAGAAAACAATACAGAGCTTTCTGGATTTTGATCACAGGTCTTATTACATTGCTGTGTTATCTGACATGATCCCCTTCTTTAATGCACACACTGGTTCCTCTGCACCACGAGCTGCTCACTACCAAGGCTGACCCACAAGGAGACCTGGGGAAGCTGTTCTGACTACAGAAATGGAGTAAATCACATTGTGCCCTGCTCCCAGAGCAAACACACCCCAAATCACATTGTGCCCTGATCCCAGGGCAAACACACCCCAAATCACATTGTGCCCTGCTCCCAGAGCAAACACACCCCAAATCACATTGTGCCCTGCTGCTCCCAGAGCAAACACACCCCAAATCACATTGTGCCCTGCTCCCAGAGCAAACACACCCCAAATCACATTGTGCCCTGAATCCAGAGCAAACACACCCCAAATCACATTGTGCCCTGCTGCTCCCAGAGCAAACACACCCCAAATCACATTGTGCCCTGCTTCCCAGAGCAAACACACCCCAAATCACATTGTGCCCTGAACCCAGGTCAAACACACCCCAAATCACATTGTGCCCTGAACCCAGGTCAAACACACCCCAAATCACATTGTGCCCTGAACCCAGGTCAAACACACCCCAAATCACATTGTGCCCTGCTGCTCCCAGAGCAAACACACCCCAAATCACATTGTGCCCTGAACCCAGGTCAAACACACCCCAAATCACATTGTGCCCTGCTCCCAGAGCAAACACACCCCAAATCACATTGTGCCCTGATCCCAGAGCAAACACACCCCAAATCACATTGTGCCCTGAACCCAGGTCAAACACACCCCAAATCACATTGTGTCCTGCTGTGATGCTCCAAGGGCAAAAAAGCCCCATATACAGAGAGCTTGGAGAAATGTGACTGCAAGGGATGGGAAGGTGGGGAGGAAGGTACAGCAGCAGCAAGAGGAGACGTGTGTGAAATGTGGGCCCACTGCTCCGTCATGTGAAGGACGCAGAACTGAGGGAAACAGGAAGGGCTCAGGGAAATAAATTCCCCGAGGTTTGCTCACAGAGCTCCTGGGTCAGACCAAAAATACCCATAACAGAGGATGACTGAGCTACATTTGGGCAAACTGGACACACACAGGTGAGTTCAAGCAATGAGACAGGACAGATCCCAGACCCTGGGAACATGAGGGATGCTGTCAAAGCAGGTAGAGCTCAGTGGAGAGCTGCCAGCACAGACAGTGGCTGCTGCACATAGCATTTCAGAGAGGCTGAGAGCTGCTTTCTTCTACCTGGAGAAGACACACAAGGCTCAGAGGCAAAGGGGCAGGAAGGGACCTTCTGCTTTGTAGAACTGCCTGCTAGGAGAGAAAGATATGTCAAAGCCAGGCTGAAGTGAGTGGAAAAGAAGAATCTCTACCCTTGGAAATATTTCATACTCATCTTGAAGACCATGAGGAACCCAATTCAATTTTCAAACAACATAAATACAACTTGTTGGTTTTAAACATCTACATGATTCTGCTTTCATCATCCACGTGACCTCATAAAACATAGTATCAAGACAATTATAATCCATTGATTATAAAAATCAACCTGATTAGAATTTCAAAATGAACATAACATAATTATAACTGGTTGAGGACTGTCAGCTTTTTTCCTCTGTACAACAATTGCCATTAAAACCTTGGATGAAGGAAGCTCTAGTACTTTTCCTAATTCCATAAAATCTAAAATTTTGGGACCATATTCTAAGGTCTATCATTCTCAGACTTGTTCCCTGAATTCCTTACCTTTAAGGACACACCCATGTTCAAGTTTTACTGACCTTGTTTGGATGATCCAAAATGAGGAGGAGTTTGGGAAGGCACAGAAGATGGCAACCAAAGAGTTCCAGAGAAATCAAATAACTGAAAGTAACAGCATTTTAAAACATGTCATACTAGCCCAGCTGCCACAAAACCTCAAATTCTATAATATTCTGCACATTAAAGTACGTATCCACAAACCTGGGGGAAAATCCCATGGGTTTAAGCTGGTGTAGATGAAGTGGAAAAATAGAAACACCTCAATGGAGGAAACAGTCTGGAAGGCTGACTGAGAAGTCAGTCTACTGCAAATTTACTGTATGATTGTGAGGCAAATAAAAGGTTAGGAGAATCTTGGGTGATTTAGAAATGAAAAGTCAAGGTGCTGAGAACAACTCCTCTATACTTCTGGGAGTTATGCATCAATTCTTGACAGTTCAGTGCAGAAAGACAGGTGGATTTGACAGATGTACTTTTTCTGCAAGACTGAATGAAGAAAATTCCAGACGATTGCAATAAAACACTCGTTCCATCCTCCAGAACTGAGCAGGGGGGTGTGTGAAACCCTGGCAACACAGCCAGAAGATAGCACTAAAACATGCAAACAGCTGAAAGCAGAGAAGGCATGAAATGCTACTGAAACTTTCATCTTGCACTGAAACAAAGTACAAGCTTTTTATCTAGGCTGATCAATGACCATTCATTCACTGAACAGCTGGAGTATGGCTTTCCCTACACAATCCCATGAGGGTGCAGGTTTACAGGACAGGATGTGGACATCACCTCCCTCAGTCACAGAGTCGTGTTTGCCTTGGCTTTCTTTCCCAAATTACATGGGACTGGCTAGGGCTCTAAACCCAGCTAGCTGCCTGACTGCTGCCTGTTAGACATACCCCACATGCTTTCATAAACTTCATGTAAAAACTTAATGACTTTTTTTTAATTATTTTTTGGCCATTCCTCAATTTTTCCTGCCAGAAAATTGACTCCATGGATCTTTTTGCCATCCTGCAAACATCAGCAAGCAGTGAGAAGCAAGAGGATAGAGAAGAAGGACATCAGAGTACACCTGACATCATTTGAAGAGGTAGCTGCTAGAACATACAGAAAGCAGCAAAAATGACCATAGGCCATCAATTCCAGTGTGCTGTGCTGAGCATGCAAGGCAAGAAGGGCCAGGGGTTAATTAAGAATATATGTTTTGATTAATACAAAGAAACAAACTGTTTGTGGGATTAATTAAGCTACAGAACAATTTGTCTCCCAAAGGAAGAGCTGGAGTTTTCACCCCTTGAAACTTCAGGAAAAGACTGAATGGAACTGAGAAGGCACAGTAGAACAGCCACCTCATGGCTTGGTAAAACAGGACAGGAGACGTTTCCACACATCAGCCTGCTGTGTTTTCTGCCCAAATAAAACCCACTCTTGCTTAACCTGCAGCCTATTTACCTGCAGCTTTTTCCTGACTGTCACTCCCTCTTTGCTCTTTTAAAGCTTGCAATGCAGCAACTCACTCAACACAAAGATCACAGTCCTCTGCAGCTGAAGCACCATCACAGAGCAAGGAAACCCCAAACTGCTTGTTTGCCATGACAGAAACTTCTGTTTTCAAATGTTTTATGATCAACACAGCCCAACTGTTTGAAGAAGCTTATAAACTAAATGGCTTACAGATATTGAGCAATTGTGAAGATGCAAGCCTTGCTCAAAGAAACCCTTGCAAATCTTACCATTGCTTACTATTTATATTACATCATTCTTTAAGATTTGAAGCAAGTCAGATCAGACTGAAACAGAACAGATGCAACAAAACTCTTCTTATTCTCACCACTTTTCTTAAACTGGTCTTAGTGCAAATCCCCTGCTGTTAATGAAAACTGAATTATACTTAAGCTTCTTTCAAGCATCTGATTATTTAGTCTTCTAACTATTAATGCTGGACCAGTTCAAAAAGATCATACAGAACATCTGCTACCCCTTTCTAGGGTCCTCACATTTTCTGTAGAGAGGAAGAAAGACAGTCAGAGCTTGGAACAGCTTTTGAGAAACTTATTTTTGCTACCAGAAAAATTTACTTTTGCTGGATAAGAATTTCAGCTACTAACCCAAAATATATGTGCTTTACAAACCATGACTTGCATTAGAAGGATTTGTGAAAAACAGCAGACTTGTCACACTGATGCACTTGGTAAATGCAAGCCTCCTCTCTGTGTGTACAGTATTGTGGAAGAAAGGAATTGCTAAACAAATTACTGCATTTCACTACCCAGCAGGGTAATAACCATAGCAACATCTCATAGAAGAGGAGGAAGGTTGAGAAAGTGTAGCTCTGGGATTAGATATTTGTAGACTCCATTTTGAAGAGAAAATCTTTATTTAATTAAAAGTTTATTTAACTTTGGAGGGCAAACCCCCCCCATCTTTTCTGTCTACAATAGATTAGAAAAATAATACAAAGGTATATGATCTTGTAGAAATTATACAATGCTATTTTCATATTTTATTTTAAAAAAAAATTAATTGCATCTATACAAGTAGCTGTGCAGATATTAATCAAGCACATAAAGGGATAAAGTGACTATCCAGAAGTTAGACAACACAATTTTCAGAATGCAGCTCCTTTTGAGACTCATCACCATGTAACAAATGCATCTATTATTGTGGTTATGAGCACAGTCTGGCTCATTTTGTATTTCTGAACTTCGAAGTCAGGTTTACCATTTAAAATTTGATTAGCTGGTTTGATTAGCTGGTGGGCCATTTAAAACACTTAGACTGCAAAAGTGTAGGAGTTGAGGTTTGTTTGTGTTTTAGAAGAACCAAAAAGTTTCTTTTGACTGAGAAACCTTCCTGAATATTTAATTCCCAAGACCTTTGGAGATGCACTGCTCTTTCCAAGGCCAATTGAACTTACCAAGGCAAAGATGTGACCAAACAGAAAGAATTGGGTTTGGACTGTGACACTCAGAAACACACAAAGGTGGAAGGGATCTCCTGAGGTCCCCACTCCAAACACTGGTGCAAAGCAGGTGCAGTTAAGACAGGTTGCCAAATTCTGTGTCCAGGAGAATTTTAGACCTCTCCATTCTTCTGTGAGCCTCATCCCAGGAACTCACCACTCCTACAGAGATTCATTTTCCTTGTGTTCCGATGGAATTTGCCACATTTCCCCCTGCAGCCCCTGTTGGTGCACAGCCAGCCCAGCTCCAACAGGACTGTTAGTGTTCAGGAACACACACAATCACAGAATGATTATATGAAGGTGCTTTATTGAAGAGCTCTGGGTGTCAGGGGTACACAGACCCAAATCTGACCTGATTTGGCTTTGAGTCGAACATGTTATATACTCTATCGTTATGCAACTTACATATTAATTATTAAACTGCCATTGTTCTATTGTATGCATTGTTTTTACCCAAGCACGGATTTCTCATGATCCTCCCAGAGCTCCCTAACGTTGTTCCTCATGTTCTTTAAACAATAATTATATCCAATCATATCTAACAATTGTATCATTTATCATCTATTGATTACACAGGTGCAGTTTGACCTGGTCTTTAGCAAGCACAAGGCCTAACATTTCTCAGGGCCTACTTTTCCCAGGGCTTTCCAAACTTAACTTTCTTTCTAAGTCCCTGAATTTTCTAAGATTTTAGAACCGTTTATTATCACACAGCCTGTGCTGCCAGCCCTGCTCCAAACCCTGCCATCCTCACACCACTCCCAACACACCCAAAGCACCCCAGAACCCACCTCTGAGTTTAACTCCCTGCTACATTCATATCAAGTTAAAGGATATTTGAATTAATGACTGACTCAAATCCATCTCTGGTGAAAAAACACAGTAAATTTTGAGATTTTTTTCAGTATATAAAGGAATATATTGTTCAGGCTAAGTTCTGGATGTGCAATTTCACTTCCATTTCTTTCTAGAAGAGAATTTCAACCCACATTTTTCTTTACATTCTATTTTTTGTGTTTTCCTCTCTAAAAATATATATATTTTTTTTTATATTGTCCCTGCAGTTCTGTAAGCATATAGAGGGAGGTAAATTCTTTTTTTTTTTTTGTTCCTTCCTGAACTCTGCAATGCAATTGCTTTATAAAATGCCATCATAACAAAGAAAAAACTTTCCTTAAATTCTCTGAAAGCAAAATGATCCTTACAGAGAATAGACAGGTAAAAGAGCTTTTTAAAAGAGGAGAAACACCTAACAGAGGCTTGTTCCATCAGAATAATACAGCTAATTTAACAAATTTCCAAGGTATAAGATAACCAGCTAAAGAAATGTCACCACAGGTTTTTTTACATTCACATTTTTAACATATTAGTATGTGAAAAGTTGCTTATTTTGTGAAACTAGAATAAATTACTGTCAATAGAAGGATTTAGTGCAGAGTGTTGAGTAAATTGCAAGTTTATCTTGATGTGGCTTGAACCTGTCCTTACCACAAACAAGAAGTAAAGCTTTTACATAAGAGTGAGGAGCAAAGAGAATCTCCAACTGAGACTTTTAGAATTATATTCAATACAACAAATATCTTGAATATCTCCTTCACATAAAACATTCCAAAAAGCCTTTACTCCTGTGACATAAGTCTTCAGCTTTTATGGAGAACATCTCCTGTGTTCTCCTAAAACCCCTAAATACTAAAATAATGGTCAAAATTGGTATGTTCTCAGTGGTCTTTCTATAGTAATTTTGCCAACTCATTTACCCATCTAATTTAACACATCTTACAGAAACTTCAATTGAAAATGGAATGGAATTGTTCTGAGGCAAGAAAATTTAAATTATGCACTTATAAATGGAAAATCAGTGTGTGTAATCTTTTTTTAGCAAGATCCTGAAATGAAAGGCTTCTTAAAGTGAAAATATCAGTCCTGCTTTTTGCCTCCACAATTTAGAAGTTTTTCTCATAGAAGTGGACATGATTTTGATATTTTGCTTTCACCTTCCTTTTGCAGTTTCCTCTATGATACAATGCCAACTCAGTAGTGTCTGCAGAAAAATCATGTTTTGCAGTCAAAGCAGGAAAACACACCCAAATAAAATGTTATAAGCTTCCAAGAAGGAAAAAAAAAAAAGCATTTTACAAGA